AATGTAAGCATTATGTACCACAAACATGAATTAATAAAAGTAAAATATAATAATTTTTAAAAATTAAAAAAGTAATGAAGGAACTAGGCATGGTGGTACATCTATTCTCCCTGTAGAGCCAGGGGACAGTCTGAGTGACATAGTGAAAGACTCTGTCTCAAGAAGGGGGGAAAAAATTCAAGAGTTTAGTTGTGGTTGTTTCTTTATTTTCTTTTCTTTTTTTGGTTTTTTGAGACAGGGTCTCACTATGTAGTCGAGACTGACCTGGAACTCACTATGTAGCCTGCTGGTCTCGAACTCACAGTGATCCTCTTGCCTCAGCCTCTCCGAGTGCTGGGATTATAGGCGTGCACCACCATGCCCGGGTGGTTGTTTCTTTTGATACCTACCCAGCCTGATGTCACTTCTGTCACCTAATTTGATGCTGTTAATTATTAAATTTAAATAATTAAGATATTATACTAGAAATAAGGAAACTAGGTATTTGTAGCCAAAAGTGGAGAAGACAGATTGCATGTAGGACTTTGAAAATATCAGAGGACATGTCTGGCAAAGTCATGTGACTGTATCTACCATAGCATCTGGAGCACAATAAATGCTCAGTAAACAGGTGCTTTCTTATTTTAAAAGAAAAGAAAAGAGAAGAGGCAGCACAGCCAGGCAGGGTGGTGCAGACCTGTAATCCTAGCACTCAGGAGGCTGAGGCAGGAGGACTGCTGTGAGCTCAAAGTCAGCCTGAACTACATAGTGAGACCCTGTTTCAAAGGATGATAGTGATGTTAGGAAGGGTTTAGTAGGAGATAGGAAAAAACAATTTGTTTCCTCTCATCTATGACTTAGTAATAGACCATGGAGCTAAACACACACACACACACACCTGAATGACGCACAGAGGTTTCCAACTGGTGGCCCTAGAGTAGAATAGGTATAGTGACAATTTGTTTAATTCATACAATTAAATATGAATTTGTTGCAATAATTCAAAATAAGATGTTTGTCCATAAAGATCTACATTCCTTCAAGAAAACCAGAGTCCTGGCAACTTGGAGGATCACACGGCAACAATGGGCTGAAGAGAAGTAGCAGTCGTCTTACTGAGATGGGATGCAGGCTCTCCACTTGGCCAGTTTTCAACACTCATTGTGTACTCCTAGCCCAATTCGCTCACTGTGTAGCCTGCCTTGCTCCTAACAGCATCAAGTTATGACCACTGTACAATGAATGTGGTCTCTGTTGAAAGCCCCCAAATCTGGGCTCTAGTCCTGGTTCAGCTACAAACTTGTATATGTGGTGATTTATGTACAATTTTCTGAGCCTCAGGTTTCTCATTAGTAAAAAGAAAACTGCAAAATAAAAGATCACTAACAGCTCTATGATTAGAATGCATTTATGATGATGGCAATGAGTGTGTAAAACAAAGTAGGCTCAACATACTTCATGCTTTATTTCTGAGTCCAATTTCTCGAAATGTTAATTTCATTTTTAGGCTAATTATCTAGTAAGCTTAGGATAGTCTAAAAAGGAGTACGTGTCCTCTGGCACAATATCTGGATCCATTTGTGGGGTCTGACTAGTCTCTTTATAATTAAAAGTCAGAAGACTATTTCAGATAGATGGGATCACTTTTGGTATCCATTTTCAGTCCTGTTATGGAAATTGTTAGATTCCTCTCTGGGATGGTTACCTACCCTATGACTAAATGAAGAGTTGCAGAGCAGAGTCTCAGGCTGTAGATGTTCTCAGTGAATACACAGATGAGGTCAAACATAATGAGTGTGGCTGAGTGTGGTGGCACATGCTTGTGCCCCAAGGTACAGTACTTGGGAGGCTGAAGCGAGGGGATTGTAAATTTGAGGCTAGCCTGGGCAACAGAGCAAGATCCCATAAGAGACAGAGTGACACAAAGAGAGGGAGAGCAAGAGGGAGGGGGAGGGGAAAGGGAGTGAGGGAGGTAGAGCAAAATAAGGAAAGTGTAGGCTGTGGAATTTGAAAGCAGCAAAAAAAAAGATCCTGTCCAGACTAGTCAAAGAATACACGTCACTTGTAGAGATCAACTGAACCATGGCAACTGCTGCGTTAGCTTTGAGTGCTGAAAGTCAAAGCTTATAAATCATCTTTGAGAGAGATGTTTCAAGGCTAAGACAGTAAGTTTGGTCTCTTCTGAAGCATTTAAAAACTATAAGCTCAGCTGACTAGTTTTACTATAAATCCATTGTTTAATTTAGCCTTCTAACAGCCTCTGGAGTTGAACAGAAAAAATGCTACTTATCAATCCTGATTCACAGTTAAGAGAAGCCTTAAGCCCCCAGAAAGCTAAATACCACACATTAACCAAAGCACTCGAGACTTACTTCAACAAATATTTATTGTGCTCTATTTCCTGTTCTGATAACACAGAGAGATAGGAACAGAATTAACAGTAGCTCTGACTAGTCTAAAGTAGAGTCAATGCCTTTGTATTTTCCTTCAAGAAAAACCACTTTTAGAGCAGTTTACAAGAGAGAATATAATATCCATAAACTCTTCCCTTAGGACAAAAGTCACAAATAATAAATTAGTCAAATCTGATCTGGGAAAAATCAAAAGCACTCAATGCTTTTATCAATATATATAAACTCAAAGGTAAAACCAACTGTACCTTCAATGTATGTGTTTATATATAAATATCCTCATCACAAAATACCTTGCAGAATTCTGCCTCTGCCAATACCTGCCCAATGCTTCTGGGCAAAATGGGCAATTATAATCTAGACCAGGGAGAAGAGTACCAAGGATATTACTGGCATCTAGTGGGGAAAGGTCAGGGATGTTGTTTTCCAATCTACAAAGCACTGGACATCCCTACACAAGGGCTTATGCAACCAAAATGATAGTGCTAAGATTAGGAAGCTGTGGACAAGGTGCTCCAAATTTTGGCCAGAGGCCTCTGATTTGGGTTTTTTGATTTCTGTTGTTTTAAACAGGGTCTTGCTATGTAGTACAGGCTATTCTTGAACTCACTATGTAGTCTCATAGAATTTATGCTGATCCTCCTGCCTCAGGCTTCTGACTGCTAGAATTTTAGGCAAGTGCCACCATGCTTGGCCCTTTGATCACAGGTTTTGGTGGCTAATATATAGGCTGAAAAAGCCAAAACATTCATTTTCCTTCACCTCTTTTTTCTTTCCCACAGCCTGGGTTCATGGTAATAAAGCCTAATAAGTTATTATATTTACTGCTTGCTTGCTATCTATTTTTTTAATTTCAATACTAGGGACCAAACTCAAGAATTTGCGATTGTGAGGCAGGCGCACTGCCACTGAGCTGAATCCCCAGTCCCCATGCTCCTTATTTTGCAATGAAATAAGAATCATATGATAATAGGTTGACAGAAGGTAGAAAAATCAACAAAAGTAAATAAGAAAAAAGGAAAGAGGGAGATTGGTTATTTCACAGCTATGAAGTTAAATCAACCATTCTGCATGGCAAACAATTATTTGTTCTATTGTAAATTTGATCATCTCATCTTAAATTATGCTTTTTTTTTTTTTGGTACCGGGGATCGGACTCAAGACCTTACACCTGTGAGGAAAGCAACAGTACCACTAAGCTAAATCCCTGGCTGATTATTTCACCTCTAGACAGTGATTCTTTCCACCCAAGAAACAAATTCCCTGTAATAGCATAAAGACAACTAAATTCTTTTGCATGCTGTGGCCTCCCCAAGGAGGCATGCTCATGTATCTGAGGCCATCTAGTGGTCTCTTGTGTGGTTCTGTTAAGCAGGCCCCAGAACTTTCAACCCAAGTACAAATTCTATATTTAGATATATACTCTCTTATTTATAAACAAAAGGAAACTGAAGTAGGACGTGGCGGCACACACATATAATACCAACTACTAGAAAAGCAGAGGGGAGGTGAGAAGAGTGTGGAGATGAGGGGAAGGAACAAAAGGAAAAAAGAGTGGGTCTTTATCTTGGAAAACAAGAGTTTCATCTACCTATAAGCAACTCAATTCAACAAGTGTTTATTTTGTTTCTACTACATATACAAGGCCTTAAACTACAACACTAGCCTCTAGGAACTGCAGCTTAGGGAGAAAAATCCTAGCTTCTGTCTTTAAAAAGCAAGGTCTTGGAAGACTCTCATAATTTTTTTTTTTAATGTTTCTTGCCCAAAACTAACTAAAAAGGTAGGAATTATATGTCAAAATATGACTCAGTTGGTAGGTCCAAAGATGAGGACATTGAAGAGTACCAAGAGATAGAGTTTCTCTTTTCCTAATCTGGATATAAAACAGCCATAAGATTCCTCATCCTTGAGCATTAAAAAAAAATTCTATTTGTTTATCTGAATATCAATTTTCTCTACATTTGTCTTGACTCAGCTCAATTACTCAGACCTATCTAGGTGCTCACTGACTCTTCAGAACTTCTAAGGCCAAGACAGACAGATGCAAGGATGTCAAGTATATATTTTGTAACTGCCAGCTTTAAATCAAATCAGTACCTCTATATTTAGTGACACTGAGAAAAGACTGGAAACTCAGCATGAGCTCTTCAGTCCCAGTTCAGGCTCCTCGAACAAAGCTGCCCAGCCTACTTTATCAAGAAAAAGATGTCATCTCAAGAGACTCTCCAAGACATATGTCTCGTGGATGGTACTTAGGGTGCTTCATTCATCACTGTGTTTTACTGATATGCACACAAAAAATCCTCTCACTGGTACGTTAATTTTCCTTTCTCTGGAAATAACACATCTTTAGAATCTTAAAATCTATTCACAAATGTGCCATGGCTGGGATGCTCAGAAGCATGCTGTGGCCAATGGCCAGCCCTGGGGTAGGATACGTGTCTCATATGCACCTTCTAGGCAGCTTGAATGATGAAATGCACTTCGAATCCAGAATACTTTGACCTTCTTACTATTTGCCCTCAATTGTTTCTACCTGACATAGTGTTAAAGAGAAACTGAGGTCAGTACACAGACATGAGGAAGCTGGAGGCAGAAGGAACTCACCTGGTCACGATCTCCTGCAAAGCAACAGCTTTTCATAGTGCATGAGTTGAAATAACCCTGATTGTCAAACTGGAAAACAGGCAGGCGGGAGTGGATATCATACAACACAGGAGGCAGACGACGCCTCAGGGCCAGGAGCTGGGTCCCATTGCTGTTGAATCGCACACTCATGGCACTTTGGAGGGATAGATTGCCACCATAGCGCAGGAGAGAACTGGAAGACAAAAAGTACAGGAGTCAGGCATGAGGTAGACTGGGTAAGTCTGCAAAACACACTAAATTTACTTCTTCATGTGTATCCAGGGTTTCCTGTCAGGTTCATGTATCAAATTTTCAGCTAAAGGCTATTTCTAGCAGTAGTTAGAAGGTAATAATGATCAGAGTGACAGAAATTGTGGCACATGCCTGTAATCCCAGCACACAGAAGGCTGAGGCCGGAAGACTACCCCATGTTGGAGGCCAGCCTGGTCTATATGGTGAGTTCAACACCAGACTGGACTACATAGCAAGACCCTGTCTCAAAAACAAACAAACAAACAGATCAAAATGATTTCTTGGTTACACTGAAATTACTTAAAATGTCAGGTCTTCCCTTTCAATCTCTAAAAGACAAATTCCACATTAATTTATAAGGCTAATAAAACATCTTTAAAAAAGAGACACATTAAAATCATGGTATTTTTATTTACCCAAGCTAAATGCACTCCCAAAAAGATACTAATCAAGACCCTAGTGAAGGAAATGAACGTCCATTCCAATTGGCTAATCATGTGTAGTATTTATGCAAATATTTATTCACTGTATTAAAGATGCAAAAACCATTAGCAAGAACAATGGATACTTCATATTGCCTTTTCTGGGTATTTTTCAATAATCATTACATAAACACAATAAACATTTACTTGTGAACTTTTCTTCTGCTTCATCATAACCACGGGGCAAATATTAAAGGAAATTTTACAATTTAAATGGAGAGCAAAGAGTAAAAGCAAATGGAAAGGGAAGATGATTATTTTCCTTTATAATTTCTTAATTTATATTTACTTTGAAATATACTTTGGTTAACACATATACTGGAGTTTCATTTATCTGACTTTATTAGAGAGTGGTCATCTTTTAAAAAGTCACACAGTATGGTTCTAAATAATTTCTCTTGCTGCCTCAGAAGACAGTTCCAATACTACAGGATGGCCACAACATGAAAAATTGTACAATACTCACTTTAAAGGGTGTCTGCCTCTTTGTGTTTTATCTTTCTAGCAGTTAAAATTCTTTTGCGGGGGCAGGGATTTAGCTCAGTGGTGCTGCTCACAAGCATGAAGGCCCAAGGTCTATCTTCCGTACCAAAAACCAAACAAACAAACAAAAATTCTTTTTTTTGGAGGAGGGGGAATGGGATCTTGCTCTGTTGTCCAGGCTGGCCTCGAATTCACCACAATCCTTCTGCCTCAGCCTCCCTCCTGAGTGCTGGGATTACAGGCTTGCAGCTGACAGTTAAGATTCTCAGTAACATAATCACTGTATTGTAGAAGAAAGACTGCTTGCTGCCTATGCCATAGCAGAGTTCTCTTTTTGTATTTCAAGTTCAATTCCTGGAGCAATGAATTGCCAGTAGGAAAGTGAATTTAAGCATGTGCGTTAGGATACTGGAGAAAATGGAGTGCCATGTCAGAACTAATAACTCACCCAGATACTGTTGCTATGGAAAGGATGTGATCCCAGCAATTTTAGAGAAAAAGTTTATAAATACTAGAAATTACAGAGCCAGAAATGTCCTCAGGACACCCAAATCAGAGCCTATCAGATTTAAAAGATTCTTTTTGGAACATTTTTATGGAAGAAGTTTTAAAGTTTTAATCTTTTTTTTTTTTTTGGTATTGGGGATTGAACTCGGGTCCTTGCACTTGCAAGGCAGGAGGCAGAACAACTGAGCTAAATCCCTGGCCCTAAGGAATAAGTTTTAATAGCATTTCATCAAGTGAAAACTCACAGCTATATACAAGAGATAATCCATTTTCTTTTTTTCTGGCAGATTAAGAGATCCAGAAAGGAGGTATCCTCCTATGGGGAGAGGAACCCTCAAACTACAGTGCAAAAGCAACTGCCAATCTAGCATGGTCATAAAAATGCCAACCACAGTCAACCGCAACCACACCAACCGTAGTCAATCCTATGTCCCTCATGCTTCCAGAGCAGTCTTCTCACCAAGGGAAGGAATGCTCTGGTGCTGCAGCTATGTGCAGAGACAGGCTTTGGGAAAACAGCCTATAAGTAGAATGAAAGGGAAAAGAGAAGACACTTAGAAAACCAACTCTAGAACTCCATATATCAAGGAGAGGTCTAGTACCCCTGCAGTCCCCAACTAATAATCCCTGCAGAGAAATGCTCTTATAATAGTACTAAACACAGGCATATTCACTCACACAGAGAATGAATGACAGGGCTGTTAAGAGTCCAGGCATTTCCTTTACAGAGTGCCCTGGCCACCACAGGCATGTGGTGTTATCTAAATACTGAACTCAAAAACAATGAGAAGTTTTGAATCCAAGATCAGCATGAAGTGTGCAAACCAGCAACTGTAAAACTGAGGAGGGGTGGGAGGTTGAAACAAGACTCAACAGAAAGAAATTTGGCGGGCCCTAACAGCCACAGAAGGAAGGCCTGCATCAGCTCAAGCATCCAGACAGGAAGTTGAGCTTCTTTTCATCTGTTAGCAGAAACTTCCTTGGCCCACTCTTGTCAAGCCATACAAGAGTCTGCCCAGGCCCATCTTATCCCCACTCAAGCTCCTTGACTCGCCATTTGTAACCTGGCCATAATTCAGGGAGAGGTCTGTTTGTGGGCTCCAAAACTAAATTGTCACTAAACTGTCTCTTGCCTATACTTTTAAACCTCTCATACAAAGACAGGCACAGGAATCTTACTCTGAGAGGTGAAAGTGAGGTCCCTTGTCTAAGGCAAAAAGCTCTCATCAGTTTCTGCTTTAGGATAGGATGAATTATAAGGAACATGGAACATTTGTACTTCCTGTAACAAAGATATTAGAAATAGGTAAAAACTGAGCAAATTCAAGGAGTCATAGTCCACACTGGACCCAAACAAGTGTGTTTAGAGTCTCGATAATCCCATTTCTTTTACATGAGTTGGAAAGAGGGAAGGTAGCTTGAAGAACCTGGGCTTTCTTTTTTCTTTGATTGTTGTTATTGTTTTGTTTCTGAGACAGCCTTCTGATATTGTCCAGGCTGACCACAAACCCCTAGGCTTAAGCAATACTCCTAACTCAGCTTTCTGAGTAGCTGGGGGTTCAGGAATGTGCTACCATGCCTGCCTTTTTTTTTTTTTTTCCTAAGACTATATAACCTCCAGTCTCCAAGTTTGTTTTGTTGTTGTTGTTGTTTTTGTTTTTTTACACCATAACAAGCCTTTATTATGGGGAGGATCTGCCTGGCTGTCTCTAAACAAAGGAAAGAGAGCAATATGGCTGAGACAGGGACTGCTTCTTACAGGACTGGGGTAGGGCTTGTAGGAGCCCTGTCTCCCACTTTGAAGTTTATCTAAAGGGAACCAGAACTACTGAAGGATGGGCCCAAGAAAAATACAATGTGGCTGGATATGATGGCGCACACTGTAATCCCAGCACTTGGGAGGCTGAAGCAGGAGGATCACTGTAAGTTTGAGGCTGGCCTGGGTTACATAAGAGTTCAAGGTTTTGCTACATAGCAAAACCCTTTCTCAATAAATTAACACATATACACACAAAAGAAAACACAGCGTGACCAAAAAAAGTTTATTGTTCCCTGAACACGATTTACCACTAAGCTTTTCTGGCTTAAAAGTTAATTATGAAGTCAGTACACTTGTTGAACATGCAGACATTTAAGTGTGATTGAGGTTGGCCAAAGGGCGTGACTAAATTTCTGATAAAGAGATCATCATATAATCAAATGGGATATGTGGCCCATCCACGAAGCAAACAAGGACAGCAGGTAAAAGAGAGTTTATCTTCATCACAGAGGAACATGTCCAGACCTAAAACATTTCTGCTTTTGATCCAGAGATCCTACAATTCACAAATAACCAACCCAGATCTCAGTGCCATGATACTCAATACTTTTCCACAAGATTAAAGCAGCTCAATTCTCAGACTGCCTGGCTTATTCTTAACTCTCTTTACCATGAGCTTTGGGACTCAGGAAGCAGCCATTGAACCTTCATTTTACACAGGATCACCCTGATCTCACAATGTATAAAACTGGGGGAGAGGGTTCAGTGAACAATGGTTGGAAAGAAGAAGAAAAAAGCAAGGGGAAAGAGGGAGATTGAGATTGGCAGTTGCTATAGCAACCTACAATAACAGAAGCAGGCAGTCCCTGTGGCAAGAGAAGAAACTAGGGTAGGTTCACTGAGTATCAGTTAGATAACAAGGCCACAAAGCTAAAGGAAAGAAAGACTGGGGGAAAATATCCTAAGTATAATAGGACTGTAAAACAAAGATTACAATTTGGTACTTGCTAAGGGAGGAAGGTCAAGTAAAGAACTCTTTCCTCAAACTGCTGATTGAAGAGACAGGATAATATAAGAAGACAGCTTGTTTCATGAACCATTCACTGATAATGCATCTGAAAACCAGTCTTCTCTGGTTGGCAGTAACAAGAGGGCCTCAGAACAACAGCTTTCAAATGTTTTTATAGTTACCCTCTGTAATAATTTCATATTGCATTCCAGTATACCATATTTATTTAGCATAAACTCATTTAATAATGTTCACCACCTATTACACACAATGCACTGATTTTCTATTTTTTGGTATTTATTAAATACTCATGACCATCTAAAATTCATTTCATGACTCACTAGATTTTGGAAAATGGTTTCTGCCTACCTTTCTTGCTTCTATTCTTTTGAGACAGGGTCTCACAATGTACTTTAGGCTGGCATTGCATGCACAGCCATCCACCTGTCTCAGTCTGCCGTGTGCTGAGATTATAGGCAGGCGCCACCACATTTGGCCTTGTTTCTATTCTTGACGCCATGCCTCAGTTTATCCTGAACAAAGTAGCCAGAGAGATAGTGAAACAAGAATCTGATTGTATCAGTCCTTTATTGAATATCCTTCAGTGGCTCCCCAGTCAACTAAACTTAAAATACCAGACTCTAGACAATCCCTCCTACCCTCGTGTTTCTAACTCCAGTTCTTATTCTACTATTCTCTCT